GGCGCTTGCGGCCGGAATGTGGCCAGGGCATGTCACAACAGTAGAGGGGGAGAGAGGGAAGGAAGGGAGGAGTGGGAGGGGAGGGGCAGGGGGGCTGTTGTGACTCCATTGCCCCATCCCCGTCAATAGGTGGACCCCCTCCCGGCCCCATAAAGCCGCCGGAGTTGAAGCTGGCAGCCTCTGCTGTCTGAGATCGCAGCTGTCAGTAAGCACGCTTGGAGCGGGGCTGCGGAGGACGGCTAGGGCTGCCCCCCCATGCGGCCCAAACCAAATGTATGTGTGGCCCAAACCAAATGTATGTGCGGCCCAAACCAAATTTTCATCTTCTAATGTGGCCCAGGGAAGGTGAAAGGTTGGACACCCCTGCACTAAAGAATACTGAGAGTTGATATGATAGCACTCTCCATAAATTTAAAATGGCTGTCACCTGGAACAAGCAAACTTGTCTTACCCTGATTCAGACAGCAGAATCCTAACAAATGGATTCAAATTATCAGGAAGGCAATTAATAATGTACACTAAGAAGAGTTTTCCAACGGCAAGAGCCGACCAACAGAGAAACATATTGTCTGAAAAGAGTGGTGGGTTGTCCTTTGCTGTGTGTTTTTAAACAAAGGTTAGATGGGCATTTCTTGGCGGGGGGGGGGGCTATAGATTTCCTGCATTCTATTGTGCTGTGCTAGAAGGGGGGCCTGTACCAGACAACCCTTTGAACTGTACAACTAGAAGAGAGTTTATCATACATCAAAGATTACTACTTTTGAAAGTACACTGATGCGATGAATAAAGCTCTCAAACACAATTAACTGAAGAAAAAAACCTTCAAATTTTAAGAAAACAAACAAGCATAGAATCAACTAAAATGGTTACACTTGAATTTACCCGAAAGACTGAGATGTCATAAAATTAATAAACTTACTTACCTACTACTAGTCCACATTCTGGGCAGATCATGTCTCCAGCTCTGTAATCTTCCACCAAGATGGAATCTGGATGGTTCGGACATGTCACTCTCGGCAGCACATCCAAGCTAGGGAATAAATTATGTATTTTAGTATTGTATGACAATTTATATTAAAAATACAATTCCAAAATAACTGAACACTCTGAAGGGATATGGGAGATAGATTTCCAAATAAGATACTGTTTCAAGTCAGTGCTTTATTTTTAAAATATCTATAAACATATTGTTCACATCAATAGAAATTCATACACATGTGAATGTGGAAATCTTACTATACCTATTTATGAATGTCAGAAAACAAAGCACAGTTCTGTGGGAAATACCAAACAGACATCAGATATTATTAATAAACCATTATTTTCAATTTCAATAAAGCAGAGAACTACAGAATCATTGATAGGTGGTATACATGCAACCTTAACATATCCATATTCATTTGTTTACTGTTGGTAGTGTTGACAGATTTGTTCAGATAAAATCCAAGACCAACAACACAGGATATAACTTGATATATAAACTATTATAAATTGATTAATAACATTAAAAACGCTGACAGGTGAGGTGAACAACATTGATTATATCCCTACAATGGCACCTGTCAAGGAGTGAGATATATTAGGCAGCAAGTGAACAGTCAGTTCTTGAATTTCATGAATTGGAAGCAAAAAATATGGGCAAACAAAAAGATCAGAGTGACTTTTGTGAAGGCCAAATAGTGATGGCTAGATGACTGGGCCAGAGCAACTCCAAAACAGCAAGTCTTGTGGGTGTTCCCGGTTTGTGGTGGTTACTACCTACCAAAAGTGGTGCAAGAAAGGACAACGAGTGAACCAGTATCAGGGTTGCAGGTGCCCAAAGCTCACTGATGCATCTGGGGAGTGAGGCTACCCCATATGGCCCAATCATGCAGAAGAGCTACTGTAGCTCAAAAAATGATGAAAAACGTAATGCTGGTCATAACAGAAGTATCAGAATGCACAGTGCATTGCACGTTGCTGCATATAGGGCTGCACAGCCACAGACTCCTCAGAGTGTCCATGATGACCCCTGTCCAGCCCCAAAAGCGCCTACAACAGGGACGTGACCATCAGAACTAGACCATGGAGCAATGGAAGAAGATTGCCTGATATTATGAATCACATTTTCTTCTAGATCAGGTGGATGGCCAGGGCTGTGAGCATCATATATCTGGGGAAGAGATGGCAGCAGGATGCACTGGGGGAAGAAGGCAGGCCGGTGGAGGCAGTGTTATACTCTGGGCAACATTCTGATGGGAAAATGTGGGTCCCGGCATTCATGTGGATGTTACTTGGCCATATACCACCCAGCTAGAGATTGCTGCAGATCACATACACCCCTTTATGGCAATGGTATTCCCCAATGCCAGTGGTCTCTTTCAGTAGGATAAGACAGCCTTGCCACACTGCAAAATCTGTTCAGGAATGGTTTGAGGAACATGACAAAGACTCCAAGGTGTTGCCTTGGCCTCCAAATTCCCCAGATCTCAATCCGACTGAGCATCTATGGGTTGTGCTGGAACACCAAAACTGATCCATGAAGGCCCCACCTTGCAATTTGCAGGATTTAAAGAACCTATTGCTAATGTCTTGGTGCCAGATATCACAAGACATGTTTGAAGGTCTTGCGGAGTCCATGTCTAGATGCATCAGAGCTGTTTTGGCAGTGCAAGGGGGACCTGCATGATCTTGGGCAGCTGGTTTTATTGCTGTGGCTTATCAGTATATTTACCTGACAAGATGAGATTAAGTGAGAAGATTCCTAAAGGAGAAAAAGTATTCTCCTTCCAGAATGGTACACTACAAAACATTTGAGCTAATTGGTTTATTAAGAACAAAAAACATAAAACCTTGACGGTAAATGCTTCAGGCTAAGAGTTTAATACTCCCATTTCCTTTCTGCCTCATCGACACACACCTGTCGGCAAATGTACAGTCTTTATACAAATAACTTTTGGTCTTTAAAAAAATAGAAAATACTCAGCATTTCAGAGTTTTCTTTTGAAAATTGCATTCTTGGCAGTTATTACTACAGTATAAAATTTCCTATTGGCAGGCAGGACAGACAAATTTATGTGGGGGATTTCCTATACTTTGGGAGGCAGGCTCGTGACTAGAAAGCTTGCAAGCACTCTTCAAACTCTTATGACTTCCTGGACAGACTTCAGACAAGGCAAACAATCAATACCACTGAATAAGTCTTGAATGGATTGATTCTGATCAATAATTAAGTGAACAGTACAAGTGCTGATCTGATGCCAGTTTTGATACTTCAGTTGTTAAATCTTTGTTCCAGTGTGCTGTGATTAAAACTGATTGGTTGGATCCATTCCACTCCAGCATTAAATTCATTAAATTTTGTTTGGACACAGAAATCAACTTCATAGTTCTGGTAGATGACTTGCATGGTAACATGCATGGGGAGCACAACCAGAATGATATTTGATTTTGTAGAAGCTTTTGATGTGATCAACCATAACTTTCCTGGCCACCCAGGATGGAAGAATGGTTCCATTTCTACTCAAAAAGCCAGATCTAAAGATGATGCTTTGGCCATGGGTTATCAAGAATTTCCACTTTATATTTTCATGCTGTTAAAATTCCACACAAAACTACATGGGGAAGTCCTCTGGAGGCTTGGGCAGAGATGTCACATGAACTGGATATTGCCCAGGTCTACCCCCACTTCTATCGATTAATCCCAGGGAGACAACTGAAACTATAAACCACCTTGGAAGCAGATGTGGTCAACAAGCTAAATTATAAACCAGAGAAGATGGTGGTCCCATTAGTCAAGAACAAACAGCAATTTTGATGAAGCAATCTGTTCTGGAGAGGGCTATCAGTTCCCCGAAATAGCAGATAGCTTGTTAATGCAGGCATCAACCTTCTCTCACACTCACACATAAGAGCATATCATTCTAATTTTATGTCAGTGCCACTGGCTTATTTCTTCTGAAGTTCAATTTAAAATATTGCTTTTAGCCTTTAAAACTGTGTATACAGTTTAAGGCTAGATTGTACTAAGGATCGATTGATTCCATGTACAAATTAAGGTCAATGTCAGAGGACTTCTATATCAATCTAAATTGCAATTCAAATTTTAAAAATCCAACTTTGAGAACTTTTAAAAAATTGATTTAATTAATAATGATTTAAATTGTGTTTTAGACTAACTTTAAAAAATTCATTGATTTTTATTTACCATGCTTGCAAGAGTCAGAAATCATCTTGATGAATCTGGAGACAGAGCCTTTTTTGTGGCAGTGGCACAACTCTGCAATGTTCTACATTAAAATCTGCCATGGTTCCTCTCTGTATATTCTGCCAGAACATTTAAGAGAAAATTTTGGTAGGCTTCAGTAGGTGACAGTTTTCCTGATGGCAGTTTTAATACACATTTTAAGTACTCTTGCTGTTAGATTGTCTGTCCTAATGACTGCTATTACAGCTTAGGAACTGATTATCTGATTTATCATTACATTGTATGGCAGAGGAAGTCTTCCTGAGCCCGTGTGGAGATAGACACAGTCTGGACCCTTTTCCTTGCAAAATTCTAGACCTGTTCAGTCATTCTGAAATGCAGAATTTTGAACAGTTACAGGTGAGACACTGGATACATTCTCTCCCTTAATGCTTTACCCATGCCAGCAGTAACATGTATGAAGAGAGAAAAATTCCAATTAATGTGTAGACTGTACATGGAAAAAAATTGGGAAAATCTGGTTTCCTGTTCATGAGTATAGCTTACACATGTGTATGATCTCCTCATTTGCATGATGGAGTTAGTCTCCTCCTTATAATTATGTGCATTATTCTACATTTCAGAATCACTGAATAAACTCCCTTGAATTGCACAGGTCTGAATAGCAGTTTTAGATACACATAGATTTTTTTCAATAAATAAATGCACAATAAATACTGTGTTCCTGGCCACCTAAACATCCATGAGTTAGTTCCACACAGAAGGCATTAAAGTGGTTTATGTGCCCACAAACACACCTCCAATTCAGCCTCTAGATCGGGGTGGGGGGTCATAAGGACCTTTAAGGCTCATTCCACATGGTACTGCATGGAAAGGATTGTCAATGCTATAGAAGAGAATTCTGATAGAGGGAATTGTTCTGTGTATTTGTGTGTGTTAATAAACTGTTTATGCTTTGCAGTTACATTTGGGGGGGCATTAGAGTTATACATGAATTCTGAATTACACGGGGGTTCTGAATTAGGGGTCTGACACCCCTAACTGCACTGTTGTTGAAGGGAGAAGAGTACAGCTGTTTTCTCTGCTAGTCAGTTATACCCCCCTTAGATTTACAAAACTACTCATGGGTATTTCCTAAACAATTGTGTATGTTAACTGATTCTTTAACTAATATGATACATGAATAATGTCTTAGAAAGATACTCTATCCTGAGGGTATATATATAATATCGTGTTATTTCTAGTGCTGCTACTGTTTCATCTCTATTCCTCCTAAACACCTGTACTGTGTCAATCATGGCTTGCTCCAGTTCCAGAAATACTACTGTACATACCTAATAATCCAAAACAGTTACTCCTTGCAGGATGGATTTCGTTTAAATCAGGATTTAAATCTTTATTTAAAATGATTTTTTAAAATCACTGGTTTTTAGTCACCCTGCTCCTTGCTGCCCATGCATCTTTGTGTGGTTTCATTTTGCACACAACTGAGGAGCTAGAATTGTGCAGAAGCACTAGATAATAGCTAGAGCTAAATTACATTCCATGTTAAATTAAGTAGCACAAAACAATGGGTAATTGAAAAAAAAGCAGAGTTTAAAGTGAATTCTTTTAAATAATTTTTTAAAAATTAAAAAATATTTATGGTAACAGTTTTAAGCTACACTGGATTATAGCTAAAAGATCTCATTATGTAATAATGATTATAAATTCTAATTCTATATGATGAGGCAATGGCTGAAATTCTGTTGCTTAGTGTACAGTAGTCACACCAGTGTAGGCCCATTGAATCAGTGGAGATTTGGTGAATCAACTCCATCAGTTCTATTAATTCAAATCAGCCTACTCTAGTTGCAACTTACTACAATAAGCAACAGGATTTCAGCCACTGCATTCATGTAATCTTTTCTTAAAAGTTTATAAATAAAACATTTAGTAAGTAACAAATCTGCTCAACCTTGTATTCCAGTTCTAACTGAAATCAGTCATGGAGTATTTTCCCCCTTGGCATAACAATGTTGGAAAATCTAGGAAGGCCTATCAAAATTGTTTGATAATTTCCTGAATTGTTTTTTATAATTTCCTGCTTATTTATTTACCATGCAACTGCCCCTCTGCAACTCTGTGCAAATAAAATTAACCCCTCACCTTTCTGTCTAAAGTACAAATTTTCAGACTATACAGTAGAGAGGAGTACTGGAAATGGGGATGAGTTGGGCTAAAAGATTATGAAATATATGCGTTAAGATTATAGCAACAGTGAGAGCACTTTGTGTGTGTGGGGGGGGGGAGAATTACATGAAATCAGGCCTTCCTGAAGTTTTAAATCAATTTAGATGAAATCCACACTTCACCAATGTTTAAAATCACTTTTTTATATACATTCAAATAAGCATGCTCCACTATGATCCAGATGGTAGACATGGTCTAGAGGGGCGGGGTAAAAAATCAAATAAATAAATAAATAAATAAACAAACAAACAAACAAACGGTGATTTTTTACAGTGGTGCCTCGACTTACAGGCATCCTGACTAATGGAAATTTCGACTTCCAAAAAGCTCCGGCCACAAGTCGAAGAAATATTTTCGACCTACAAAAGAAAAAAGGCAGGGGGAAAGGGCAAGAAATTCAAACTGTTGGTGGCAAAGAGGCTGCTTCTTTGTAGCTCTTTCACCCCTGCCGCTGCCGCCAGCGGGAGGCGAGCCGCCGGACGATCCCAGCTGGGCTCAGCCTCCCAGTCCTCCAGCGCCACCGTGACTGCTGCCGCCAGAGGCCTCCCTGGCTTCCCCGCCGCTGCAACCGCGGAGGCAGCAGTGACCCAGCCCCGGAAGGCTTGAGCTGGCTGTGTTTCTTCGACCACTCACCCCTGGCTCTCCTCCCACTTGCTCCTCCCTGCCCTCCGCCATTTGAATTTCCTGTCATTGGCCTGCGGAGTGTGGCGGGGAGCAAGCTGGGAGGCGAGTGGCTGAGGCACCCCTGCCAGACTCAAGCCCCCGCAGTGGCAGCAGTCACAGCAGCGGTGGAAGCCCGGGAGGCTGAAGAGGCTACAGACTGGTAAGGTACTGCTTTTTCCTTTTAAAAAAGTTGTTCTGGGTGGGTTTTGGAGGGTAGGTTTGGGCTGGGGAGGTTATGTTTCTGTGTTGTTTTGTTTTTTGGTGTGGTTTTTTTTTTTTTTTTTTTGGCGCCCCCGGGGGGGGCTTTTTTTAATTTTTTTTTTTGGTTTTTAATTTTTAATTTTTTAATTTATTTTGGCAATCCGAGCATGGGACTTGCTGTTTATTCTTTTTCTTTGGAATTTTTTTCTTCAGCCGGAACGGATTAATCGGTTTTCAATCCATTCCTATGGGAAATGGTGCTTCGAAAATTTCGAGTTGCGGCCACTGCTCTAAGACCAATTAATTTCGTAAATCGAGGCACCACTGTAATTTGTCAATGTGGTAATGTTTAATCCTCCTGACAGTTCGTTTGATTTAAGAAACCCTCCCTCCCTCTATAATGCATAAGCCGAAAAAGAAAAGAAAATACATTAACACCAAGAGACAGAGACACAATTCAGATATAATAACCAGTTGAGATTAACGGGTTAAAAATCCATTTTTGTATCATCATTGCAATCTAGATAGTGGCTGTACATGCTTGTCTGGATGCAAAAAAGATCCTAAACTGTGTTCTACATATTTACATCCCTCTTAGCAAAATTTATTTATTAATTTAAAGTATTTTTACCCCACATTTTTCCTTTAAAAAGAGCCCAGGCAGCTTGCGTAAATGAAAGGCAATATTTACAGCTAAACAATGAGTATACAGCAGTGGTTTACACAATTAAAAACAATACAAATCTGAAAACAATGAATATACTGTATATATAAAGGTATCTTACATCAATAAAAGAGAATATTAAAGCTAAAACACTAAGTATGTAAATACTAAAAAGGAGCAAATATTACTGTAGGAATGGTAAACACAAGTAGTAGTAAAGGCCCAGACAGAGGAGTAATGCATAACAATCCTTTTAATAGTCACTCAATTTATCTAGCCATATGTAGCCAGCCATTCATGTACCCAGTCACGGAGAGAAAGGTCTTTGCCTGCTTGCAGAAGGACAGCAAAGATGGGGCCAATCTGGTTTCCTGTGGGAGGGAGTTCCAAAGTCTCCCTTAGATGAACAGTATCGATGAAGGTGGTGGGACCAAGAGGAACAGCTCTCCTGATGATCTTAACACTCAAGCAGGCTCACAGACACAGTCTTTATGATAGCTTACAACCAGGCCATTTAGGGCTTTATAGGTTAAAATCACCACTTTGAATTATGCCCAGAATGGGATCAGTAGCCAGCTGATCTGCTGTAATGGGGGGGGGTATGTGATCCCTTTAACCAGCCCAAGTCAGCAATCCGGCTGCTGCATTTTGAACCAGCTGAAGTTTCTTGACACTTTTCATCAGCAGTCCCACACAGAGAGCATTACAGTAAAATAAAACCATGGAAATGTAATCCAGTCCCACCCTGTAGTTTCTTTAAAAGGGAATATTACTTTTTTCCCCTTTCTGATTATGTACATCTTACTCTCATTCACCACACTCTGAAGTCTGTCAAAAAAGCACATTTCTAAGCTTTATAAGTACAAATTAGATACACATCAGTGGGTAAAATTGCAGATCAACTGACAGAAAAAGTAGGTCTCATTCTACTGCCCTGCCAACATCCTGGAAATAATTCCAAAGAATCAACCCAACCTCTTACTGTGAAATGAGATGTGGAGGTTTTGGCCATAGCATTTAGCCACTTTTTTTGCAGCTGGTGTCACAAAAGTAAATAAAATTAGAAGACAATCTGTTTCACATTACTGTCTAGCACAAACTACCAGCTATGTGGTCACAATAAAGTAAAGTTAGAACAACCAAAATGTTGCCCAACACTGAATTTTATGGGTCTGGAACTTTAAAATTTCTTTGTTTATACTGAAGAGGATTGACACAAGCCACACAGATCCTTCTAAATATATTTCATTGGGCTGCTTATGTGGGATGACCTCACTTAGAAAATTCTCAAATAACCATATAGAGTGTTTGTTCAAAAATGCATCATGGAGGAAACACTGCCAATATGGAAGTTCTGCTTGTCCTGTTTAACTCTCACTATATACCACGGGACATACAAATTTCTTAATGTTTATTTCCCAGTACCAACCTCAGTACAATACTGAACAAACTGGTTAAAAAAGTCTTAACCACATAAAAAAGCAATCTCATCTTCTGTCCTATCCAGAAGTCTTGCCCAACAGAAGACAAAAAAATCCAGAACATTGTTACAGTAATATAGACATCTCTTCCAGTAGCTCATCTGAAACAGTATGTTTGCTGACAGAACCAATATATATATATATTTTCCTGTACACATGCACCACCTGAACAAGACCTTTAAGAGGTACAAGAGATTTTTCAGCTACTATAGGTAAGACAAACATTTACAGAAATAACTAAGGGCAAGTGAATTCCCAGCTCTACCAAAGAGTACATGCCATATACACTCGACAACTTCTCTGAGGCAGGGCAGTAAAAAACAAAAACCACAGGCGAAGTCACGAAACCCACAATTCCAAACATGTGCGGTCATACCGGCAAGCACGGTTGCCATCTTTTCAACTAACGACTGCTGCTATGCTTGGATCCTAATCTGATCCTGAAACATCTTTTAGGCCACGAAAAGCTTCCCTTTCGCTTCTGCTGCTTGAAAGTTCGCCCCGAACTGTAGAAGTTGTTCTCGGCCTCTACCCCATGGCACCTTGAGCCCCCCCCTCTTTATTTACCCCGCCAGCCCAAGGGCATCCCCACACCTCCCAAGGGCTTCATATTTTATTTCCCCCCTCCTTACACACCCAGTATGTCTCAGCCAGTCAAACAGTTTCATGCAATGGTTCCCGACACCTGCCCAGAGCATCTCTTTCCCCGAAAGATGACGCATCACACAACTCGGGAGAGGGGGAAAAAACCGGATTGGAAAGAGGCACCATTGCAAAAAGGAAGGGGTCTGGGAAGGCGCAAGCATTGGCGGGGGGGCCCTCCATCCCCAAAACGCCTTACTACAAGCTTCCCTGTGGGGCGCGGGGGGGGGGAAGAACCCTTGGCTCGGTTTCGAAGCCTTGAACTCGCGGGGAGTGGGAAACGAGAAAGGGCGACGAAAAACCACCCAGAAAGCACCCCTGGGATGGGGCCGGGAAGCGGGTTACGAAGGCAAAAACGCACGGCGGGCGTCCAAACGACGGACAACCCGGGAGAAGGAAAGGCAAAGGGCGAGACGGGCCTAAAAGCACTAAAGTCAAGCTCAGGCAGCGGCCGGGACAACGGCTTCCCCGGCATCTCTCTCTTTTCCTTCTTTTTTTCCGCGACCGCACCCTTTCCAGGACGGTTCTAAAAGCGCCGGAGAAACAGGCAGACCCTCAGCACCCGCCAAGCTCCCCGACTGACCGGCTAGTGGACGCCATCTTGCTTCCCCTCCGCAGTGGCGTCTGCGCAGGGTCGAGCGAGCGGGTCGGCTGACTCCCTTTTAAGCTTTACGCTCCGGTGGGCGGAGTTTAACGAAGACGCCGCTACGGGTAGCCGCGCGGGGCAAAAATGATCCGTCTATTTCTCTTTTAATTTTCTATGTCCCTACTGAGCGTGGGGTGGAAGAAGAAGGGGTGTCGTTCTTCAGTCCTGGAGAAGTTTGTTGCGAAGTAAGACTGTTGCAACTCCGTAGAATTTCCTATTGAGCAAACGTGCTTAAGCACACACAAGACAGGGTGCGCCAGTAATTACGGATAACTGAACGTAGCCTTTGGTCTCGTCTGCACTTAGGAAATAGAAATGATTGCAACTCTCACTGTTTTCGAACTCGGTCAATTTTTTAATGTTCTCCTGTCTTTAAGCTAGATCCGGAAAGGGAGGAAGACAAGGTGGAAAAGGCTCTGGCCCCGACTGCTCTCTGTTTTGCAGGGCAGTAAAGAAACACTGCCAGGGCTGTTACAGAGCTGAATGGCACCTGCAATTTGAAGTGGCGCAAAGCATTCTATCAGCTGAAGTCTTCACTACCTTATTTTTAAAATATGATTGCTTTTTAATTTGCCTTTTCAAAATCGTAGTTATTGTCTTTTTAACTTGGGTTTCCATTTCTGTGAGCTGCCTTAAGTTCCTTTATTTCATTTTATTTCATTTTATTTATTTATTAGATTCATAGAACGGGTCTACTCTGGGCGGTTTACATCTAATATAATATAAAATAATATTAAAATAAGCTAAGATAAAATCCAGATTAATCCAAGATGGAAAAGGAAAAAAATAAGAGGAAGAAGGAGGAGAGAAAAGAAAACGAAGAAAAATGGAGATAGGCTAGGTCGTGGCTGTAGGGAAGGCCTGCCTGTATAGCCATGTTTTCAAGTTAGTCTTGAAGACCCTCAGCGAGGGAGCCAGGTGGATCTCAACAGGTAAGTTATTCCAAAGGCGAGGGGCCATTGCTGAGAAGGCCCAGTTTCTGGATTTTTCCCACCGGGCCTCTCTTGGCGTTAGGCCCCTCAGCTGCCCAGCCTGACTGGAGCGGGTGATACTGGTAGAACTGGGCAGAAGAAGGCACTGTGTCAGGTATCAAGATCTTAAACCGTTAAGGGCTTTATATGTAATGGTTAACACCTTGAAATCCATGTGGAAGTGGATAGGTAGCCAGTGTAAGGCGGCCAAAGTGGGGGAAATATGGTGAAATCTTTTCATCCCAGTTAATAGCCTGGCTGTCATGTTCTGGACCATCTGAATCTTCCACATCAGTCTCAAAGGAAGCCCCACGTAGAGAGTGTTACAGTAGTCTATTCTTGAGACTACGAGCGCATGGACCAGTGTGGTAAGTGCCCCCATGTCTAGATAGGGACTCAGCTGGGCAATCTGCAGAAGATGTAAGTGGGCAGACCGAACCACAGACGCTACCTGGGTCTCCATGGTAAGCGCCGGGTCAAGATGGACCCCCGGACTGTGAACTGCATTCTTTGTGGTGAGAGTCATGCCCCCCAAAAGAGAGGGAGTTCCCCAAACCATTGACATTGGGGCTCCCCACCCAGAGGGTTCAACTTTAGTCCATTCGACTGCATCCATTGCAGAACGGCCTCCAGGCAGCGCCCAAGGGACAGAATGGTATCCACTGCAGATGGAAAAAAGGAAATGTAGAGCTGGGTGTCATCAGCATATTGGCGACACGAAGCTCCACATCCCCAGATGACCCCCCCCCCAACAGCCTTATATAGCTATTAAACAGCACTGGGGAGATGATTGAACCCTGTGGGGCCCCACAACTGAGGGACCACGGGGCCGATACATTCTCCCCAAGCTGCACTCTCTGGGGATGGCTATCCAAGAAGGACCATAGCCAAGCGAGAGCAAGGCCACTGTTATGGTTGCCACATGTCACTTCTGTCACTCACAGTCTGGGTCTCATTTGCATGAGCCTATGAGGAGTGGAGGGGGCGGAGTCAGCAGAATATAAGAAGGTGGCAGGGAGAAATAGAATAGGAAGCAGAGAGAGATAGTCAAGGAGATAGCGAGAAATAATAAAGACAAGCTGGTCAAGATAAATAAATAGAGCAGGTGGTGAAGGTGGCAAGATATATGATATATCCAAATGATTTGATTATACGTTTTGAATAAAGAACATCTGTGATTATAATAAAAGTTAATACCTTTCAATAAATAAGTTCTGTTGGCAGCAACCTGACA